TTTTAACATAATAAAAAGGTTTATAACAAATTAAAACTTTAGAAAATAGAAGGGTACCTTAAAAATCTAGGAATGAAATTTGATCGGTCCTTTTTTCATTCTAAAAGATCGGCAAATATATTTTTCTTAGGACAAAATGATTCAAACTTGAAACCAAAGTTTGGAATTTACTTTTGATTTTTACAACGAAGATGGCATGATTTTGGCGTGGTTTGCAAATTGCCTCCAAGGGCTTGACTTCATACAAAGTTTAGAGCCCTTTTGAGATTGCTTCGCTAAAATACGCTTACACGAATACGTCATTATGAGAGGGTGATTTTAGTATAAATACGTTGAATTTTTAATTTGGAACACTCACGTGCAAGCAGTTCTAAAATGAGAAATCCTAAGATGACTCTCTCAAAATGGGACTCTCTATGAACTTTTTGTCACCTCACAGTTAACTCAAATTGTGCCAACATTATAAAACGTTGTGTCAAATATGAGGTATCAAAGAGTTCATAGAGTCTCACTTTTGAGAGTCATCTTAGCATTTCTCTTCTAAATTTTATTTTAAGATGCACTTAAAAACATTTTTGGTAATCAAACAACACTTTTAGTCATTATTCACGTAAATACTTAATGGGCTCAATTAGTTGTGATGAATTACTTGGGCTTGATTTCGTTGCCATGAACCTTAGGCCATCTCCAACCGAATGAGGGCTAGAGGGTTCATTGTAGCCCTCTGGCCCTCCAATAAATTAATATTTTAATGAACAATTCATGACCATATTTCTTACCATCTCTAACCAAAGGTCAAAGGGACATAGGGCCAAACATAGCTTTGTCACAAAAAATCATCTCCAACCGAAAGTCAAAGGGTCATAGGGTCAAACACAATTTATTATTTAAATTTTAAAAACTACAACAACTTTGGGCCCAAAGAAGCATGAAGTAGGCATTTAAATTTTATGTTGTTAAATGTTTTTAAAAATATTGTTTAAGTTTCATGTTGTTAAATGTTTTTCTTTTATGTTGTATAATTTTTATGTTGTTTAATATTATTTGATGTTGTTTAATATTGTTTAATGTTGTTTCATGTTACTTAATGTTAATGTTGTTTAATGGCTTAGTAAGTTATAGAAAAAAAATATAGAATTTTTAATTTTTTTAAAAAATTTGTAAAATAAAAAAATAAAAAAAACTGTAAAAAAAAGGGTAAATTACAAAAAACTACCTCAACTATTGGTCTCTCGACACTATCATACCTTATCTTTTAAAATTGACAATGTCATATCTCATCTTACGAATTTGGTCTAATGTCATACCTCCGTCGGTTTTTCTGTTAATTTCTCTGTTAAATGCTGACGTGGCTAAAGACGGGGCCCTCTCTCACCTTCTCTCTTCTCTATCTTTGGAGCACCTGCATCCCCAAAATCCCAAAACCCCTCCCTTTTTTGCCTCTGCAATTCTCCCCCGCAACCCCTAACAACATTCACCCCCAACCCCTACATTTTCTCGTCCCCTACCTTTGTCCCTCTTTCTTTTCCAGAACCCCCTCCTTTTCGAAGATCTTCAACCCTAACCCTAATTCCCGAATTTCAAACAGAAACCCCCACTCTCATACTCTGTCTCTCCCAAGTCCTTCATTTTCTTCAACCCCTTCAAAAACTGTTCCATAAACCTCTTCCCACCCATCAACCTCTTCTCCTTCACCGACTCCCAATCCCCTCCCAATTTCTCCTGCCTTAGCCTCTCTAACCTTTTCAATGGCCCCCACACGAAAAACCCATTCGAACCCGAGCCAGAAAAGCCCGAACACTACACCCAGATGCTAAAGCGGTTTTTCTGGTAATGCGAGAACGACCCGGATTACAAGCATGCCCCGGAAGTGGAGAAGATTCTGAACGAAGACCTGATTTTAGAAAAGAATGAGAACCCAACTGAGGAGGAGCTTTAGGAGAACCAGAGGTTTTGAAGAAGTTTCGGGAGAGCCCGGTGGTGAAGTTTCTGGCTCAGGAGGAGACTCGGTGAGGACATTAGCGAAAAAGCAGAGAAAAAGAACAGGTAGTGCGAGGACTGTAAGAGATCGGAGCCTCATTGGCGAGGCGGCGGTGCGTGGTGCTCGTAGAATGACCTCGACACAGGTTAGCAAATACGACCGTCGTATTAGATTCACTGTGAGAGGGAAAAGGTTTCAGTCGAGTTTTTGGAGATGGAGCAAATGATGGTGAAAATACAAGATCGTCCTCCAAAGCAAAGGTGTGGGGGAATCTCCCTCAGGTGCAGACTTTGTGTCAAGAGAGAGGAAAAGATAATTAAACTCTGGGATTTTGGGGATGTAGGTGCCCATAGAGAGAGGCGAGAGAGATGAGAAAGAGGGCGAATCCCACAATTTTATATAAAAAATAAATTTTTTAATATTTAATTATTAAAAATATATTTAATTAATTTTTAATCCAGTTGGATTAGTGAGTGGGCCCCGTCTCTAGCCACGTCAGCACTTAACAGAGAAATTAACAGAAAAACTGACGGAGGTCTGACATTGGACCAAATTCGTAAGATGATATATGATATTGTCAATTTAAAAATATGAGGTATGATAGTGTCGTGAGACCAATAGTTGAAGTAGTTTTTTGTCATTTACCAAAAAAATATTAAAAAATAACGGCTAGCTGACGTCAGCTAGTTACCATTGCATTCAAATTATGGACCGGCCGGTTGGCCCTTTTTTGTCTAGTGGGGCCCACGAGCCCTTTGACTTAGCCCTCGGTTGAAGATGGTTTTCGGGCTATTTTCGGCCCTCTGACCCTCTGAACCCTTCGATTGGAGATGGCCTTAATGTTCCACAATGGCTCTCCGTCTAATTTGTCTCCACCATGATTTTTGGTTTTTAAATAAGGTAAGAGAAATTTTTATTTTTTCAATCAAAAAATTATTCTAAATGAAGGTGTGAATGGCCGTTGTAATAATTAAGCAATTAAATATGACTACTTTATTGTCAAAAACAAAATCTTTGGTAGGTTTGAAAAGTTTGATAGTGTTTGTGTTTGGGCCCAAATTTACACCATCGGCCCGAGTAATCAAGGCCGTTGAGTAAGCACGTTTCTACACCGTCGATCGAAAAGTGAAGATAGAGGGATAATATTATGATTTTTATCATAATCATTATTTATCCTTTTCTTATACGGAGGAATAAATGGGATTTTCGTTATATCCAATGAAAGCAACAACAGAGTTTGAATTAATTGTGGTCATGTAAAATACCATGCAGCATTGGAGTTCTATTTGGTATACGGAACCGTGGGGAGCAATTCCACAAAATGGGATGATCAGCACATTGAGATGATGTGGGGAGTAACCAAAACAAGGTGATGTGACAGGATCATGGTGGTTTTTGCAGATAAAGCAAAAACCATTAACCATTTGTTTTAAGTATCATGTATGCGTGGATAAAGCATATGTGGATGGGTGAAGGATTAGGATTGACCAAGCAAGAGTTGGTGATGTTTAGGATACTGTCTGACGGGAAGTAGAGTTCCAAGTGATATGGTCTCTTTTGGGCATGCAAAAGATAACAATTGAATAGCAATCCGTGGGGTTGTTGAAGGAAAATATTCTGAGGAATATTATTTTGATAGCTTGGATGCCGCGACGGATAAACTTCAACATGGCTAGTAAATAGTATTATAAATACATGAGGCTGTGCATTATTCAAGAGACCCCTGAAAATCAATACAAAATTGCCTGCGCAAACTCTCAACAACTTGAGATTTTTTTCCTTTTTCTTTTTCGCTGACACATCTTCTGTTGACATCAACAGCACTGTGGAAGCAACCGGTGATATCTTAAGTCGGCATAGATAGCTCTGTCACCGTAGAATTAGTCGTTCTCGCAGTATCTTCCGTTGGCATCAACAGCACTGCGGCGAGAGCGGTTGATTACCTATCCAAGTCTCGGTCGAGAAGGGTTTCTAAATCCTTATTGGTCGAGGTCATCTCATCAGCCTTCTCGGCAAAGTGAGGTGTTACAGTCATTACATTTGGCACATTGAAAGCCGAATTTGATATTGAACTTCATAAGAATAGTAACCTTGTCTTCAGGTTCGAGAGCCCAAGAGGCCGAGACGTGTTCCTTTCTCGGCCGCAATCGCAAGACGCAGAAGTCAGCCGCATACCCAACGCAACATCAACAAAAATTTACTCATCGGCCGAGCTCGGCCGACGAGTTGGCACACCCCGCAATCACCGAAGGACGTAGTTAGCCTTTAGATTACTCGGCTTGCGCGCCACGTAGGCTTGGTAGTTTTTAGGGTCAACAGTTTGTTAGACATTTTGTCTATAAAATATTGAAGAACAAAGAGAGAAGAAACATACGGAAGAAATGAAAGAAAAAGAGAAAGAAAGATGTATGCATGAAAAAATATCAATGAGCCAAGCTAGAGAGAAGAGAGAAAATAATGAGAGTTATTATGTACGCATATTATTTCAGATAAAGAAAAAATGTACTACTGTTGCCCCCGATGACTTAAGCACATTTGTCGAACCTCGTAAATATTGTGTCTTATTTACTTTATATTCCACTGCATACATACGTCGATTTCATACAAAAATAAAGTTATACCTAGTCATTTGAAAATCGAAAATCGGACAAACCAAAAAAATCCAAATGTTAAAAAACACACCGCCCATGGAGAAGAATCATGCCAAATTAGAATTGAAGAAGACAAACTAGTCGGCGAGATATTTTTCAGTGTGACTGGTACACGGGGTAGTAGACTACGTGTCACTAAACAAATTGTAGGATATGTGTGCTAAAAAGTTAATAACTTAATAAATAAAATTTCTCACAATTCCTATTAAAACACGTGATATACCACTTGTGTTCCCGTCACAACTAAAAATTTCTCCGACAACCACATTCCTTCTCGTATCTTACACTCCAAATTTTAATCCTCGTATCTTACACTCCCCACCATGAAACTCTGTCAACTTCATCCTCGTGTCTCTTGTACTCCAAATTTTTATTCCTACATTATTTTACTCTCTGTTTTATCGATTCTTGCTTACCAATTGCCAAAATATTTATAAAAATTATGCAGTAAAAGTTAAATTAAAATTATAAAAACAAATCCACCAAGAAAACTTGAAATTTATAAAACTCCACATTTACATATAAAAAAAATAAAAAAAATCAAACAATGAAAAAAATGGAAGAACAATCACCCTTCTTCTGGTACACTACTACAGGTATCATCATCATCTTCCTCACCTTCCTCACCAAATTTAAACCAAAACACAAATTTACGAGTCTGCCCCCATCCCCGCCGTCTCTTCCAATCATCGGCCACCTTCACCTTCTAAAACATCCAGTCCACCGAACCCTCCACTCCCTTTCTTCAAAGTTGGGTAAAATCCTCCTCCTCAAATGGGGTTCGCGCGCAGTCCTCCTAGTCTCCTCCCCTTCCGCCGCTGAAGAATGCTACACCAAGCACGACGTTGCCTTCGCCAACCGTCCAAGCCTGCTCGCCGGCAAACACTTCCACTACAACTTCACAACCGTCGCGGCGGCATCCTACGGCGACCATTGGCGTTACCTCCGCCGCGTCATGACTCTGGAGTTCTTCTCCTCCTCCCGCCTTGCGGCGTTTGCAGCCGTCCGGCAAGGAGAAGTCCGTCTCTTACTGAACCAGATCATGAAGAAGTCAAAGGTCGAACTCAAGTCCAAATTTACGGAGCTTGCATTCAACGTGATGACGATGACGGTGGTGGGGAAGCGGTACTTCGGCGAAGACGTGGCAGACGATGAGGAGGCAAAGAATTTCCGGGAGGTTATGAGGGAGGCCGTGCACCTATCGGCGGCGACGAATTTGGGAGATTTTTTGCCGGTTTTGCAGTGGATGGATGCGACGGGTTTGGAGAAGAAGATGGTGAGGCTGATGAAAAAGATGGACGGCTTCTTGCAGAGTTTGATTGAGGAGCGCCGTGGGATTTTGGCGGCGGGTTTTGAAACGAACGGCGCAGAATTGAAGAAGTTGATGATCGACAACTTTTTGGCGTTGCAACAAACAGATCCCCAATTATATACCGATGAAATCGTCAAGGGAATCATTTTGGTAAATTTCTTAATCCTGCAACTTTTTTGTTACACAAAGAGAATTTAGGCTAAAGACATGATTCATTAATAATTTGGTATCAAACTATAGTGGCGGAGCTAATAAAAGAAATTAGAAAAAAAAATTTAATATCATGAAATTTTTTAATCAAATAAAAGAAATTAGAAAAAAAAATTTAATATCTTGAATTTTTTTAATCAAATAAGAGTGATGAAGCTTTAAAATTTGTATGGAAAAATTAGTATTGAGAGAAGTCATAATAAATAGAACCTGCGTTGACATCTTACACAGCATTAACAATAGTGTTATAACTAGTTCAAACTATTATTATGAGATTTTTCTTTTCATATTATTGAATCTTCCTCCTGAGTGTCTATACCTTGTTTTATATGAACTAACAAAAAAAAAAAATTAGTTTAAAAGAAATCAGAATGGTTTATATATGATAAACTTTATTTTAGGTGGGGGTTTAAAAAACCAAAAGGTAGTTTTCTATCAGGTGTCGACCATAGGACCTGAAGATACCTCCAAGGTACAGATTCCAGATTGGGCAAAAATCGGTAGACAATTAATCTAAGTTTAAATTTTAGAATGGGTCTGGACTACCCTAGTCTTTATGTGGCTCCGTCACTATCTAACCAATCGAAATTAAAAATGAATTTTTTCATTTTAACAGTAGAAAATACTACAAAAATATAGTTCACTAGTATTTAGGTAAGCTGCAACTTAGGTCGTGTCAATTTGAATTCAAGTTTATTGTAATGTACCCAGGCACGCATGTACATTGGGACCAAGGTGGTCCTACAATTATTCGGTTTCTGGAAAATATATATCTAAAAAAAATTTTAGGACCCTTGGAATGTTTGGGCACGAGTCTCTTTTGTGTCTATCAAGTGTTTGATGAAATGTCTGTTAGACATATCTCGATAGGTTACATCAATAGCAGTCGACAAATCCTCTTGATATCACTCATCGGATTGTTTTGGCATATGTCGATATCTGTTGACATGTGTGCAACCTGATTTGGTTGACAACAACAAACTCACCTAGTGTTCGACGAAATGCTCAATGAATATACTGAAACGCATTGCACTCTGTTTCTACCTAAAAAATTTGTATTTTAACATCGAAACTTCCCAAGGTTCGAATCCTGAATCAGCCACTGAGCGTATCTTCTACTATTGAGTTTATAGTTTTCCAACTTGATGAACTCGAATTGTAAAAGTAAGTTAGGGTTCGATTGATTGTTCAAGCCTGAGTTGCATCCCTATAGGCCTTACCATTAGTCGCGTCCAATTTCATATAGTTAAAACAAAATTTCTGTCATGCGTTCCACATGTACTTGATGTATTGATCAAAGAGTTGAGTGATTATGTGTTACCAGGTGCACATCTGCTTGTATGTATCTTTCATCTAATGGTCACATAAGCACATGTTTGTACTTCGAGTAAACATGATCACGTTACATATGACCAAGTCACATCACAGGTGTGCACAGTAGACACAATAACAGCATTATAATTTCGACTAATCAATACTAATTGTAGGTGTTGCTGGTAGCTGGGACAGACACAACATCAACAACCCTAGAATGGGCAATGGCACTATTGCTAAACCATCCAGGTGCAATGGCGAAATTAAGAGCCGAGATAGATACCAAGACTGGATCTGATCATCGTCTGTTGGAAGAGCAAGACTTGCCAAACCTGAACTACTTGCAAAATGTGATCACCGAAACGTATCGTTTGTACCCTTCATTTCCAATTCTAGTGCCTCATGAAAACTCAGAGGACTGTGTGGTAGGGGGGTTCGACGTGCCGCATCACACAATGCTCGTGATCAATGCATGGGCTATCCACAGGAACCCTGAGATATGGGAGGACCCCGAAAAGTTTAAGCCGGAGAGGTTTGAAGGGTGGAGTGGTGAGGGGTCCGAAGGGTATAAGCTGATCCCATTTGGGGCTGGAAGGCGACGGTGTCCTGGGGCCAGCCTCGCGAACAAGTTGGTTGGGTTGGCGCTGGGAAGCTTGGTTCAGTCGTTTGAGTGGGAGAGGATTGGTGAAGAGGAGGTGGACATGAGTGAGGGTTTGGGGCTTACCATGCCAAGGGTCAAGCCCTTGGAGGCTATTTGCAAGCCACGCCCAATCATGCTATCTTCCATGTAAAATTCGACCATAAAGTCCAAAGCACAATACTACTGCTACATTATTCCCTTTGCTTGGTAGTAATCAATATGTATGGATTGACTGTAATCAAGTTCAAAGTTATAGTTCTTATAGTTAAATCTATCAAAAACTATACTTGTTTAACTGAATTTTTCGTATAACTGGTAATGTTAGTAAAAAACACTGCAATTGATATAGTTAAAAAAAGCAAATCTTAAAAGATTCAAATGATAGTAAAAAATCCGATAGTCCAAGAAGAGTCGGGCTTAATAACAGTTAGGACAAAACAGTGGCTTAATTATCTTTTGGCATTGTCTACCATCGTGAAACATTTTAGTTAAATAAAAACTAAATCAGAAAAATACCTTTAATTTAATAAACAATTGATCAAAATGATTTGACAAAATTGAGGGTATTTTTATCATTTTATTTTTATTTGATAAAGATTTTTCATGAAATAACCAAAAGATTGATAGTTGACAAACTCAAGCATCAGTTCTATTAATTTTAAATCTTAGAGATCAAAATAAAAGGTTATGTCAATCCCAGATATCATTTAAGGTAAAAAAAAACCATATCTTTTCCGTACAGATTTCAACGGACAAAAAACAATTTTCGATTTTGCTTCTCAATGCAAGAATTCCATGGCAGCTGCCAACAGCATACAGGATAATCCTAAATACAACCATCTCATCATCTTTATGTAAATTTTTCTTAAGATTTACTAATATAATAACCTTATTTCTGACAAAGATAACTTTCTACGTGAGTTTATATTATTAACATGAAACGTCACAATTATAGTATATTCGTGTTATTGCTGAAGATATATAATAAGAAGCCCCATTAAGAAGACACATATAATTTGCAAACAAGTGCATTGCGACCAAAATCGTGGCTACTAAGAAAATATCACGCTACATTCTATATGTAACAACTCATCTCTCAATGGTACATTGCAAATCCTGAAAAGGACCTAAAACTGGAGAAGTGGAAAGGACTGGAAATGGACAATCTACAAAAGCAACAGGCAATTTCAGGTTCACTTCAGGCTTCTTTTCTAAAGGGGTAGGGGCCCTAGGGGGCTATATAATAATAATAAACAAGTTCAATTTACACATTGATTTCGTATACGAAACAACAAAATAGATTGAAGAGGAGGACATACTAACTTAGCCAACTGTTCCAACTCACGTTTGCTATGAAATTAATAAAGCCATTTACCAATGAAGCCTGTTGAAAGTTGACAAAATGAGTGCTTGCTTACGCCTTAATTTTTTTGTTTCTTGACGTTAATTCCTCAACGATTATGGAGAGGGTCTGAAGCGTTAGGAACTCTCCTCTTGCTTGAAAAGAAGACCTCCAACGAGTGCTTTGGATTCAAACGATGCTGCTGCTGCGGCGGCTGCTGCTTATTATTCTCTTGTTCCCCTGGTAGCTTATTCGGTGATGCCGTCGAGTAGTTCAGCTTCTGCACATCAAGTTGCATTGTGCTTTCCTTGTCCCCGGAGGCCAGCATTGTGAAAGACCAAGATTATTACGACGAACTGCTGAAATTGCATAACTGAGACTTGTGGGGGGTTTCAACTTTCAGGTTTAAGAGAAGAAGAAATATGAAAAGAGGAGGTGTCCGAAGAGGGAGTTTTAAAAAGGCAAAGTGTGGAAAAGCCACATGGCTTTGTTTGGAAGTCGAGAGAGAGAGAGAGAGAGAGAGAGAGAGAGGAAAATAAAAGGTTATGTGGTGCAATTGAGTATACCCTGCAAACAAGGGACACTTCCCACGAGAACTCATTTTTGTTTGCTTTTCTTTTTCTTTTGTATAATATTCTTTGTGTTTCACGAGAACTTTTCCTGGCTTTCTTTTTCTGGTCAGAACCCTCCCAGGCTTTCCAGTCCCCTTAAACAAGGCACTCATGCATCTCACTCCACTCCAAGCCAGAATTAAACTAATAAGGGTTTTTTTTATTTGTGTGTTATTAAACTAAGGATTAATTGCAGTTGTGTTCCTTAGTTTTGGAATGGTTTCGCTTTGGTTCCTAAATTATTTTCCATCTCAAGTTGGTCCACAAACTTTCAAAAACTGTATATGATAAGGAGAATAGTGACATTTGTTATAGAAGTTGACAATCTTGTGGCTAGGCCTTGAATGCGGGCTGGCTAGTGTTCTAGGCGAAATTGCACATTGCATCGACCAAAATGAATGACAACTACACAAAGACAGTAGATATGTAGCAAAACATTAAATGGCTCCAACGACCAAACCCATTGGTCTAGGTCGTTGATATAATCAGGGTATTTCCTAAGACAACTTAACTCTTTCAAGATATTTCGAAACTAGATACGGATCTGAACCAAGGGAGACAAGAGGATGTTTTCAAAGCTCTAAGTTTATCTCGATCTAAAAATCTTCTAACAAACGGCTTCTTTTATTCCTTTTGATATGAAACGTGATTGTTTTGTCAACTTTTGTAATAGATTGCGAGCAATTGTCCTCGTTAAACATAATTGCAAAAGTTCATGGACCAAACCATGAGGAATAAAAGTTTGAAGGACGAAAGTGAGGAACCCAAAAATAGAGTATAGAAAAGTTGGCTCTTGTGCTAGCTAGTTGTTTGGAGGGGTTGTGATTGTCGGGTTTGGATATAGGCCTGGAAATATATGTGTTGCTTTAGAACATCGGAAAGAGTGAAATCATCATATACATCCAAGGGCTTTCCTCTTCATGCAAAAGGTTGCCATACGAATATCTCTTGCTTTTTCTCCTTTTCTTTGTTATTTAAGAAGGAGACATATAATATAATTCTTAATTATTTGCTTAAAGTAGACGATCGATTAATTGAGTGGTCAAATCATGCGTGAGTCTCTTTCCAAAGTTTTGAATCTTTCTTTCTTTTCCTGCTTTATTTGAGCATTCCTTTCCCTTCGTTCCCGACGAAGTGCCAAGACATACGGCATCCATTTGCTCAAAGATCCAAGCTGCTTTCTCTGACGACTGATACGCTACCCTGACTGGTAATTTCATGGAAAGCGTACGTCTTGAAAATCTTGGACGGACTTGGAAGCAAGAGTTCAGATAGATTTTGTTGAGTCTTTTTGTGTTGAGAGATATGCAGCAGAAAATCTTAATAGTGCAGAACTCAAAGGAGGCATCTCTGTTAAGGATATAATAGGACCATCAAATGATAATGTACCTGATTAAACTTTACTTAGCTGTTAAGTTATGACAGTTGGTGTTGGTTAGAATAGTTTGGGGATATAACTGATTGTACCTATTTATATATGGGTGTGTACACATTCTGTTGAGATATAATGAAATCATTTTGTACAACAACTTCTCTCTCTACAATTCCCTCTCTCACTACAATTCTTTCTCTCTGCCTTTAACCTTTCTCTTACAGAACTATGAGTTTCTAAATGGTATCTTCGCCATAGTCCACCGACTTCGATCCCCCGCTTCCATTTTCTTGAATTTTCTCACTCTTTCTTGAATTTTCTCACTCTTTCTTGTTCTCCAAACAAGTCTCATCAGCCATAATTTTCTCAATTTCTTCTCTAATCCTCTCAATTTCTTCATTTCTCTTCTCAAATCTAGATTTTCCAACGGTGATTGCTACGAACTTTACAAACTCCTCTTCTCCGGTGGCTAATTCTGGCTCTCATGGCGAGGTGAAACTCAATCATCACAATCCTTCCGATTCTGAAACGATTCAAGCTTTTAGGGCTTGTTAATGGCACCGATCTGTGACCTCCTCCATTTGTGACTGATTCTTCTGAATCTTGAGTTCCTAATTCAGCATATGAGACTTGGTGCGAAAAAGATCAAATCCTGATGATTTGGATTAATTCGACATTATCTGAAGATCTTCTTCCATTGATGATTGGCATGGATGATTCGAGATCTCTCTGGCAATCTCTGGAGCGCCGCTTCTTTGGTGCTTCTCGTACTCAAATTCATAACGTACACTCGAAGATTCAAACTATCTAGAAAGGCGACTCTTCGATGACTGATTATCTCAATTCTCTCAAGGAATTTTCTGATAAATTTGCTACGGCTGGGGAACCGATCTCTGAATTCGATCTTGTTGCCTACATACTTTATGGTCTCTCAGAGGAGTATGAGTCTGTTGACCCTAGAAACTACAAAGCCTACGTGGCGCGCAGGCCGAGTAATTAATAAGCTAACTACGTCCTTCGGTGATTGCGGGGCGTGCCAACTCGTCGGCCGATCTCAGCCGAGGAGTAAATTTGTTGATGTTGCGTTGAGCGCGCTGCTGACTTCTGTGTCTTGCGATTGCGGCCGAGGAAGGAACAATTCTCGGCCTCTTGGGTTCTAGAGCCTGAAGACAAGGCTGCTAATTTGCGAAGTTCAATCTCAAATTCGGCTGTCAATGTGCCGAATACAGTAACCTGGTAACACCTCACTTCGCCGAGAAGGCTGATGAGATGACCTCGACCAATAAGGATTCGGAAATCCTTCTCGACCGAGACTTGGATAGGTAACCAGTCGTCCTCGCCGTAGTGCTGTTGATGCCAACGGAAGATGCTGCGAGATCGGCTGATTCTACGATGACAGAGCTATCTATGCCGACTTAAGATATCACCGGTTGCCTTCACAGTGCTGTTGATGCCAACGGAAGATGTGTCGGCGAAAAAAGAAAATAAAAAATCTCAAGGTGTTGAGAAAGTTTGCGCAGGGCAGTTTTGTGTGTGTGTTGGAGGTCCTTTGAATGATGCACAGCCTCCTCTATTTATAGCACTAGATACCTTTGAAGTCGAGTCAAAACCCTACTCGAACTAGGTCTTCTTCTCCGGATCAAACACCCACTCGACCAGTCCTATGTTTACTAGGATTGTGAGCCTAGTCCTCTATTGAGCCGGATTCACTTCCGGGTTATTACCCTTGCCGAGACTCCTTATCGTGTTAGGACTCGACTAGTAAATGTAATATGACCTAGCCGACCTAGGTTTAGGAGCCCACGTACTAAATGATCCAAGGCTCCCCTGTCGCCAGGCCTCCCGGGCCGAGAGTGGTTCTATACTCGGCCCAACATGTTAATTTGAGCCCAAACACTCTTACTTGAGGATATAATTTGCATCATATCCATCCCGTTTAAGAATATGTCAAGATAATTCAAATTAAAAGA